AGGGCCGCGGGCCCGGCGCGGGCAGCCAGCGGGCAGGCAGGTGGAGCTCTTGCTCTTGCTCCTGCTCTGCGCCGCGCCTCTGCGGTCTCCGCAGCCGTTTGCATTTCCTGAAACCGGATCTCCGTGTCAGAGCCGCCCCCGGCCGGCGGGCGGGCGCCTCAGCCATGGCCCTGCGCAAGGAGCTGCTCAAGTCCATCTGGTACGCTTTCACCGCGCTGGACGTGGAGAAGAGCGGCAAGGTGTCCAAGTCCCAGCTCAAGGTGAGGGGCACCGGGCCCGGGGGAGGCTGGCAGACACGCCTCACCAGCCCCTCCCGCCTGCGCCCGGCCTGAACACTGGTGCTCTCGGGCGCCCAGCCATCGAGAGGCCCCGGACCGGGAGTGGGGCCGGTCCTGGGTGACTGCTGCCCACTGTCCAGAGAGCAGGGGGTAGGTGCAGAGCCATTGCCCAGAGCCCTGCCCCTCGGCTGGCGGGAGGGTGGAGGTGGCATCATGGTGTTCTGAGGGCCAGGGCCAGGCGATGTCCCAGACTGCATGTGATGAGCACACATCTCCCCAGAGTCAAGCTTGGGCACGTACCCTACTCCTTCCTGCTGCTGCCTCCTGGCTTTGAAGAGAGACAGTTAGCTAGTCCTTGTCAGTCACTTCCTCCCAGGGCTGGAGCCGAGAGGCTTAAAGAGCCTTGCCCAGTGCAGACCAGGCTGGCTCAGTCACCTTTGGCAGGACTCCCCTCTGAAGCATGCCTCCCAGGTGGGCCAGAGCTGGGAAGGGGCATTATGCTGATGCCCAGCTTCCCCCCTCCCCCCACAGAACAGGTTAGGACATTTCTACCTTAGGCCTTGAGACCTCAAGTAGGGATGGGGTGGCATCAGCCCAGGAAGAGCCCCATCAGCGATTGTCCTAAAGTTCATTGGCCCTAGGCAGTTGCTGGCAGGCCAAAAGTCAGTCTCCCTTCCTCCAGTCCTGGGTTAAGGCTGTCTCTTCCACCTGTTAGTGGGAAAGAAGTAAGACTCTGAACCAGCGGTTTTCAACCGTGAGCCTCAAGAATGTTTAAAACATGCAGTACCTGACTACTTAGGGGCACGGACCTCTTTTCCCTTAGATTTCCAATAAAAAAATGGCAGCAGCCAACACAACAGCCGTCCATTGTGAATGAATCAAAGTTATGCCTGGTTTTGTGTGTGTTTTTGTCAGATTGGCCAAAAAAAATATTTTGGTGTGCCGCAGGATTTTAGTAGTTAGTTTATGTGTGTCATGAGATGAAAGGGTTGAAAATCGCTGCCCTAAACTGTTGGAACCAGTGAGCAGTGGGAGACGGGAGCAGGGTAGGCCTCAGCTCTCTGGGACCTGCCTTAGTGGTGCATTGGTTCACTCCACAAATATTTATTGACCACCAACTATGTACCTGACATGAAGCTAAGGCCCTAGATTCCTTATGTCTCCCCTGGGATCCCCCAAGTAGGGGTACAGTCTCAAGGAAACCTCCATACTTAATGACCAAGGTAGGAGGTGCCTAGAAACCTAAGAGAGATGAATGGAAATGAATAGGTGTTATTCCTGTCCCCGTTATGACCCCCTACCTTGCTGAACTTGGAGGCACTGTAATTGAATGTCCCAAACGGTCCTGTCCCGTAATCTATTCCTTAGCCAGACTTGTGAGCATCCAATAAGTGATTCTTGACTCCCCCAGGAAGGAGAGTACACTACCACCTTTAATCATCTGGGAGAATGTCCCCACAGGCAGGCTCTTCCTTATAGTCAAATTATTTTATTGCAGATCATATCATCTAGTGGGGTCTTCAGTTTAGACAGAAGAAAATCCATCTCTGCTTGAGCCTCTGTCTTGGCCTCTAACTGGGCCAGTGCCTGCTCCCCACCCCCACAGGTTGAGTATTTGCAGGGAAGAGTCATGGGGAGCTTGCATACTTGAACTGTTTGCTGTATGTACCACATCACAGCTCAAACTGAGCCCACTGCCAGCAGCCTGTTTGGTCACACAAGGTCAGTGGTAGATTTCTCTCTCCACTTGACAGAAAACTGGTTCACTCTGGGAATCTGAGCTGTGAGATTCTCTGGCAGGTGGTGGGTAGAGCAGAAATGTCAAGCCCATGTCATCGGAGGTGGACACTGGGATGGGAGGAAGTAGTGATGGTGTTGGGGGTGGGGATGGCGGAAAGGCAAGGGAGCAATAGAGAAGTGGTCAGAAGGCAGAGAAAGAAGCAGATAAGAAATATACCAGCAGGAACCACCCTCTCCCCTGAAAAAACTTGGGGAGAAGGGATAAGGTTGGGGTTAGCCTCTGCTCACTAGAACTCTCCCTGGGCGCCGAGTCCTTGGTTGGGATCAAGCAGAACTGTACCAGCCAGAGCAAGCTTTATGTGTCTGTGACAGTCACCACTTCTGCCCTGATGTGTGGGTAGAAGGGCTGCCACCGTCTGTCCTGGGCAAAGCCAAGATGAGGCCAGAGGGGAGAGGAAGAACTGCAGCTCCTCTGAGCAGTAGCCCAAGGAGTCAGGAGTGTGTTCTCTGGAGAAGAGAAGGCCCTGGAACAGGATTAGATGAGTTTTCCTCTCTTTGAATTCTTGTGAAAAGTACAGTGGTCTTTGTCCAGTTGGGTTGAGAACACTAAAAATAGAGCAATAGGAGTGACATTTCTGGATTGGGGTTGAACACAAAATTTCTCAGGAGTTGTGGACTGAATTTTTGTAGGGCCCCCAGAACCTCCACCTCTAAAAAACTTTAGGAGCAAGTAGTCCTGTCAGGGCTGCAGTGAGGGGAGTCTTAGGGGAGCTGGGCTTCCTAATGGCCACACCCTCCTCCCTAGGGGAGCAGCTTTGGTTTTAGGCCTAATGGGGGATGAGCTGAGAATTTGGCTTCCTCCCTCCGGGACAGCCAGGCCCGCAGCGAGGGGCCTAGGATTGGGGATGTGGTTGGAACGTCGTGTCTTTGGCTGGATAAGGATCTTAGGAGGTAGCAGGCCCACCACTTCCCCTTGACTGGCAGGAGCCGGGGAGGGCAGAGAGGGTGAACCGAGGCCTTCCCTGCTTGGCCTGGGGAGGCTCCTGAGCCTCCAGTGGGCACTCAGGGCATTCCTGGGGCCCAAGTAGGGCTGCTTGCCTCCTTGGGCCCCAGGGACAACACCTTCTTGGTGGAGGGAAGTTAAGAGCAACTCCAGGAATGTGCTGGCTGGAGTCATCAACTTTGCCCTGACCCCTGCCTGTGCTGGTGTCCTCAGTAGGGATGGGGAGGAGGAGGGTTGCTTCATGATGTGCAAACCACTTGGCTCCAAGTCACACAGGCTTAGACCTGTATTACTCCCCAGCTGGGTCACCATGGGCAAGTGACTACCATTTCTGAACCTCCAGTTCCTTATCTGTAAAGCCCTAGGGTTGAACTGGGGATCACTAAGCTATCCAGTTAACAACCTACGAAAATAAATGTTAACCAAGGACATTAAGTAGGAGAGCCCGGCCGGGCGTGGCTCAGCGGTTGAGCTTGACCTAGGATCCTAGGCGATCGGGGTTCGATCCCAGGTCAGGGCACATGCCTGGGTTGCGAGCTGCAGCCAATCAATGACTCTCTCATCATTGATGTTTCTATCTCTCTCTCTCCCTCTCTCCCTCTCCTTTCCTCTCTCTGAAATCAATAAAGCTATATTTAAAAAAAAAAAAAAATTAAGTAGGAGAAACTGAGCCTTGACACTGGCTCTCCTTCGTTTTCGGAGCCCCTCTTGCCTTTGATGCCTGCACCCAACCCTTCCAACCCCTTCTTGCTCTCAGCAGGCACACAGCCCGCACCTTTTAAAATTCCCAGTGCTCTTCCCTCATGATAGCAGCTAAGCTTTACTACCCACTGGTTGAGAAAAATACATTCAGTAGCTCTTAGAAAGGATCTGCATATTTTAGAAGAATCACTTAGTACCTTGATACATGTAAAGACTTGGCCATGGAGGAGGGAGAGGGGAGATTGATCGCTCATTCTTTCTGCAGTCATTACTTGGTGCTTTTATGGATCCTCAAACCCCTGTATCTGCATCTACTCCCGAAGGCCAGAAACTACAGAACCGTGGGCATGGCTGTAGCCCCAATCCCTGCACTTGAGCTTTTAGGGAACTCCAGACCCCAGATGATAGCCACTCCCCAATGTGCCTCCAGAGGAAACAGTGAACAAATGAAGCCTCTCCAAGGTCAATGGCTGCCAACCCAGAGGTCAGGCCTACCTGGAGGGGGGCGGGGGGGCTGTGGGAGTTCTCTCTGAGGGAGGCTGAATGGCAGCTAGTGAACTGCAGACACCTGGACCCCACCCCAGGAAACTCTGAGTCAGTAGATCCGGGTGGGCCCCAGCATATTTCAGTTTCACCAGCTCCCCAGATGATTCTGATGCTCAGCCAGAGCCAATGTAGCATAGAATTCAAGAGCAGGCCTTTAGTGTCCTTCCTTCAGCAAGACACTCACCTCTCTGAGCCTCGATGTCCTCATCTGTAAAAATGAGCACAATGAGGGTCCCTGCCTTGGGGCTGAGGATTGATCCGCTCATGCTGGCCTCTATCCCAGCCATTTCCTCTCCAGCATGACCCTCTTCTGGTCACACCCACTCCCCCCCCAGCCCCCACTGCACCCAGGCACCGGAAGCCTGGCAGCCTGAGGTCTGCTAAACTCTGAGAGGCTCTGAGCGTCTGGAGCCTTTATTTCCTCCTTGTCGTGACACCTGACAGCTCATAGGGACGGGCTCCTCTGCCCTGGGCCCCTCAGATTCCATCTGAGACCTACCCTCCCTCAGGAAGGTAGGTCTCAGATGAGGGCCATGTGGGTGACGAAACCAAGGAGAGAAGTGCGCACTGCCGTGTGGCAGGTTTTCTCCTGGGCTGGGAAGGCTTTGTCTGTTATTTCATTGAGCGCCCTTTTAGAGAGATGAAAATAGGCCCAGTGAGGTTAACTTGCTCAGAGAGATTCAGTCCATATCTGTCTGAGTTTTGTATTTTTCCTACTCCTCCCCATGAAGCATTTCAGTTCGTTCAACAGATTTATTGTATCCATTATGTGACAGACCAGTGGCACTGCAGAGAGTAAGACAGACAGAACTAAATCTGGCCCTTGCGGTCTAACATTGCAGGCAGAGAACACATATGATAAAATAAGTAAAAAGGTATTGTGATAGAAGCTGGTACATGACATGGAGGAAACTAGAGCAGAAATAGGGATGGGGGGGGGTAGAGAGGATGGGCTTAGAGATTCAAATAAGGTGATCAGAGAGGCCCTGCC